TTTATTCACATAATAATTATTTTACATATTTATATTAAAAAGTAAAGTTAGTTGGACCTTATAATGAAAAGTTAACTAAAATGTAAGCCTTAAAGTGAGAATAACCTAAAATATAAGCCTTCTATTGAGAAAGTAAAAAATTCAGGCCTTAGATTAATACAATTAATAAAAGTTAGGCCTTCTAGTAAAATTTTCCCGTCCAAATGGCATTGTCGTGTTTTTGCATCATTTTTTTTTGGTATAGGGACCTTTCAGTTTCCGGATCCACAGAGAAACCGACTAATCCAGAATCGAGCCGGGTAGGACCAAAAGGGCGGCAAAGCTCTCCCTCAAGAGTTTTAACACTGCTGCATTCTCAGGGTTCGAACTCGAGACTTCTGGTTAAACTGGAAGAGACCCAAGTCATCTTATCCAAGCACTCTTTGAGTTATTTTTACATCGAAAAAAAAAAAAAAAATCGCGTTAATTTTACAAATACATCTATTTTTAATTTTAGTACCGTCGACTTTGCTAAACAAACTGCAATGCTGAGAAGCTTTCTCTCTGCTCCTGCATCAAGGTACGAAAATCACAAATTCAAAAACGCACGCAATTTATGCATATCAGATTCTGTGATTGTGGCGCAAATTTTAGGATTGAATGTATACATATATTCTGAAAGATGTTTTTTTTTTTTCCTAGTGCAATGGATTTGTAATGTGAATTTGAAGATGAAACCCTGAAATTTTCAACGTGCAATTGGGAATTTTGTCCGAAAACCCAGAAAGATTTGATTATGGATTAGATCGAAGTGAAGTACAAAATCATCAAACTGTCTTTATAATCATAAATTCGGGCATTTCGTAGATTTTTATGTTGAGATTCAAATGTAAAATGTGTTCAAAGTGTAGGGGTCACCGAAGGTTCTACTTCATAGAAATGTGCAAAGTATTTTTATTTTTTTTCTAGTTTTTTTTTCAATAAATTATGTGGATTGAGCTAATTGCTGGCTAATATGTTTTCTGATATTTGTCGAATTTCTTTGGTATGCAGAGTAGCTTGTTACAGCAAAATGAGTACAGCTCCTGGACCAATATGCAGAAAATTTGTTCCAGTTGAACAGAGTGAAATTACTTCAACCCTTAATCATGCCGGTGAGTGCAGTATTTTGAGTACCGAATGCTTGCTTTTGTAGTTTAGTTGTGAACCGTGATCATTTTCCAAAGAATCGTGTATGGAACTTGCTCCATCCTTAATTTTTCGTATGCTCGATTTTACAGCCTTCAAATTCAGCCTCGTATCCTACAATGTTTTGGCTCAGGTATTGAAAGACACTTTTTTTTTTTTTTTTTTTTATTGTTCTATTACCTAAACTTGGTGGAAAGTCGATAGCTTTTTTCTTTTAATGACATTCTGACTGCATTAGACTCGTTTAAGTTTCATTATGAACCCTGAAAAAATTTCTTATGAAGCATATTGATTACAACTAAAGTGAGTCCTAAATCTGAAATATTCCTGGATTTTGGATGATGTCCTCTAAATTAAATTACTATCCAAGATTTTAATTTTGTTCCCTATTTATTGGCTCCAATGGCACCATTCTAGATAATCAGATGAATAACAATAATAGTTTGATATTTTTTCAGAGCATTAAAACAAGCAATGTAGACCATTAATTCATTCATGACATTGGAACGATATGGATAGTTTAATGAAAAGTTGTTACCTAAATTAACTTAGCATGTGCCGGAATGTTCTCTTCCTTGGCCTTTCAATTCCCGACTTCTGTAATGATGCATGAGTTTGCTAGAGCCTGAAAAAGTTTGTGTCATGTTAATTATATTGCTCAGGTCATCTCATATTTTGTCTTCCTTATTTTTCTGGTGCTTTTTTCTTAATTAGCTTTTGATGAGTCGATTGTCTTATTTTCAGGCCTATGTGAAAAGCGCGTACTTTCCACACTCACCAGCACCCTGCCTCAAGTATGCGTCCTAGTGATTCTTATGCTTAATGGGTGAATTTTTTTTGTTTTTTATTGTTCTGTCAAAATATACAATATATGTGGCTATTATTGCTGCTTAACATCTAAAGAGCTTCTTGATGTGATTCCTTCTTTGTCTGGTTTTGCATATATATCATGTACGTAATTGTCTTCTAAACTAATTTTGATATAGGTGGAAAGCTCGTTCAGAATCCATTTTAACTGTTCTTAAGAGCCTCGGATCCGATTTCTTTTGTCTACAGGTATTTCACTTTCTCCCTTTTGGTTATGAAATTATCATTATATTTTTTTTCTCTGTTATTGTATTTTTCATTCACCGTTATCCACAAATTTTATTCATATCTTTTAAAAAAATTATTAAATATGAATCAGGAAATAGATGAGTATGATACCTTCTACAAGAAAAATATGGAGAGTCTTGGCTATGCAAGTATCTACATTCAGAGAAGTGGGAGGAAACGAGACGGATGTGGGATTTTTTATAAACAAAACAAGTATGCTGGTTCCATTTTCTTCCTTTTATAACTTCGACATTTTTTGCGCATCTATAAATGGGCCCATTCATTCAACGAGCCAATTCACTGTCATTTGTAACTTTTTGTGTTAAAGTTTTGAGATATGAACAAACTGGCCGTATTGACATCTGAAAGAATTTATGTCCATCTCAATAGGATTCTTTATTTCATTTTTCGTGATAACATCTTGCATTAAACCTCCACCATGCTTTATAATTACTGAGGTGAATAATAATTAATTAAACAACAGTTGAACAACCCTAAAGCAGAACATGGCCTAATCCATTTATCTAAAAGTTATCCTATATTATATTTAGTGCAGAGTTGGTTGTAGAAGAGAAAATAGACTACAATGATTTGGTGGACATGATTGAAGATGGAAAAACCTCATCCACAGATAAAGGCGAAAAATTACTAGTTGCTGAAAGTAAAGAGGAACCAAAAGCTGGTAAATTTCTTTAAATGATTTCTCGTATGTGTTTTTTTTTTTTTTGGTGCTTTTTCCTCCGTTCGTTCCGTTGTGTGTTATGAAGTAGCCTTCTAGGTTTTTGATAGTGAAAACTTGAATATGCTCATCCTGAAGCTTGAAGTTAAGTTATTTAAAACTAAATTACTATCAAATATATACTGTAAACATATAAATCTATATTATATATATGATCAATGAAAGTATTTCGAGCTGGGCAACCTCGGCTTGGTTTCCCAATTGAGCCGATCTGAGCTCGGTCAACTTTGAGCTCGAGTTAAGTTTTGACCAAGGAATCATCTTAGCAGCTCGTTAGTTACACATTGATCATTACTTGAAAATCTATACATTCTTACAAGTCATTTTCAGGTTTAGAGCAGAAAGACAGTCAAACAGATCGTGGAGATCCAAATGATCCTCGTGTAAGATTAAAGCGTGATTGTGTGGGTACAATGGCTGCCTTTAGACTTAAGGAACTTTCTTCTCGTCATGTTATTATTGCGAACACTCATTTGTATTGGTAAGTTGATCTCTGTTTACTTTTTTTTCTCTTTGTGGTTAATTATAGAAGTTCTCCAGTAAATAGTCAATTTACCATTAAGGCAATAACAAAAATAAGAATTATAACAATACAAAGGCGGACCTTTTTTATACTCTTACAAAATCCATGAGAGGTGTATTTGAAGGAGCTATGTTGATTTTCTAAAAAATATTGATAACTTTCTGTAAATATGCTGAATATCATGGGTGATATCTTTCGTTCTCACATTCGCATACGGTCCTTGCTAGAAAACACAAGAGTCTTTATCAAGGTTAAAGCCGATCTCTTTTAACAATGTATACGCTTGCTAGATAATATTGCAACAAATGGGGTAAGATTAATATGCCGACTCTGACTTGTTTGATCCCTTAATCTGGTACAGGGATCCTGAATGGGCTGATGTGAAAATTGCTCAAGCTAAATACTTGCTTTCACGTCTAGCTGGATTCAAGAAACTAGTATCAGAAAAATTTGATTGTTCGCCTTCAGTAATCATTGCTGGTGACTTCAATTCAGTCCCTGGAGATCAGGTCAGTCAGTAAGTACGTCACATATTTACATATTCGTTTATGCAAGTATTTTCTGTTGGGCAACACTAACAAGTTACAAAGTCTCTTTGGCAATTTATATGTTGATATAATTTCTCTTACTTGATCAATGTTTCAAAAATTTTCAGGTTTACCAATACTTAGTTTCAGGCACCAACTCAATGGGGCCGGAGGCCGTGGATGATAAGCCGATTCCATTGTCAAGTGTGTATGCATACACAAAAGGCGAACCCGAGTTCACAAATTGCACCCCTGGTTTTACGGACACCCTCGACTATATCTTATTTTCCCCATCAGATGATATAAAGCCCGTTAGCTATCTTGAGCTCCCGGGTTCTGAATCGTCCGACGTGATTGGTGGTTTGCCGAACTATTTTCACCCGAGCGATCACCTTCCAATCGGGGCTGAATTTGAAGTTTTGTGAGGCTAAGATTTTCTTTCTTATATATCTGATTTTTTATTCAGACGAGCCAATTAACTTGAAATTTTACTAGGAAAACTTTTGGAGAGTTATACAACTGCCATTAGACGCCATATTCCTTTTCATGGAGTAAACAATAGTTTTTAGAAATCATTTCATTCAATAATCATGGATATAAAATATTTTGATTTTGTTTGAATTTTTTGGTTTGGTATGGTTAATTTTGAAAAAAATGGTATGAATAGTTGTTACAGTGATGTTCACTTATATGAATCATTGAAAAAGTAACGAAAGTTCATTTAAAAAAAAAAAA